GGACCCCTTTACTAGTTAGATTTCTTCTCAATAACCTTACTTATTCGAGGTTCAATTTGTGATGTCAGATGTTCTCCATGGGAAAAGACTTCGGTCGAAGTGTAGACATTAGCAAGATGAACAGCTTGCTATCGTCTCAAAGCTCGTATGCAAGTGGGTCGCCTGCGTGTCTGACTGACAACGGCTTACCCATGGCCCAGCTTTTCGAAGTTGGGTCGAAATCTTATTTTCTACGGAACTTTTTTCTGTAAAATCGGCTTCGGTCTTTGATAACGGCGCAATACAGTGTCATTTCAGCCCCATTAGGCGCCGTTTGAGCACCATGTTTTTTTCACCCTAATTTTGGGCAAAGACCTATCCAAAAAAATGGTGATCCTGTGCGTAAGCACAGCACCAGTTTTCTACGTTGGCGATATTTGGCGCCATTTAGCAACTAGTGCCTACTCTAGAATGCAACATTTTGACATCATCCGGAATCGATCCCTTGACGGATATCTCATTCCAATTTTTGGTATTCACGGGGCAGCTAAGAAAAAAATTGAACATACTTCTCTGTTTCATAAACATGCATCTATCAAATACAGAAGACCATTTTGCAAAAGCGCTCCATATCCTGAAAGGCCTTCCTGGTAAGCACAGGTATTCAACAAATTTTGGACATTCAGCAAGATGCTGAACTTCTAAGCAGTCCAATATCTTCTCTCCCTCTTTCTAATATCAGTACGGTAAACGCCACGAGCAATCGAGCGAAAGAGCCGCCGTCGCCTAGTTCTCGCTGCAGAGGATCACACTGGTTTAGAGAAGTGTCCTTTTCTGCAAACTGAAATGCACTATCTGAGCTTTGCCATCAAGGCCAAATGAAGTCAAGCTGACCCTCAGATAGAGGCCATGCACAATACAGTGCCTTTCATAGTTATAAGCTCACGCTCAAATTTCGCATTTCTAGAATAAGCAGTCCCTCGGAGATTCTCCTAGCATCATCAATAGATTTCTCAGCACGAATAACCCCTTTATCCGAATTTTGGCAGCAGCAACATTTTTCTTAGATTTTCGTATCTATATCATTTCCTTATCTTTTTCCTTTCCGCACCGATTCTTGATTATTATATAAATTCACCCTTAGAAAATGAACAGCTTATTTGTGTTGATGACACAGGTGAGAGAGTTAAAAATCCGGACTCTAACTTGTTTAAGTGCGACATCAAGTACCTCCATGGCTTACTAGGAGTCAAGTTCCGAACCTCTGTGTATCGATTCCGTTTCAAGCTTTAATGACCGCCCCTTCCAGAATTTCTTTGCTGTGTAAGTAGCGGCTATTCGGATCTTCGGATTTCATTTTCTCAATACAAAGCCACCTCGCCTCAATGTGGATCTTAAGAAGAAATTTTGTTTCCTAATGTATCATTTACTAGAGCTAGATAAACATTTATGTGGCTTGATTCTTTGTACTCGTTGCCTGCCCAATGAACCAGTCAGATCTACTTTCCCACCACAGTTGAGCAGAAGCTACAGCGCGGTCTCGATCTTTGATGTTTCGCAAGAATGCTGAGTTGTACAAAATGTTCCCCAGACGGAACTCGAATCCGCACCTCTCACCTTTCCGGGCAAGTGCGCTACAATTTACGCTACCGGAGCATCATTTTATTCCTGAAGTGGTTTCTAACTTGTCATTTTATGGATCACTGATTTCAGAACTTCGCGAATCAGCTCGACTGCATGGATATGCTCTATGAACTCGCAGATCAATTAGAAAGGCTGGAAGTTGATTAGCTCCAGAGCACTGAGCTTGTAGACCCAAAATTCTGTACATTCCGAATACCGACAAATTGTTATCCCAGGTTCTGTACTCCTGTGTCTATCTTCCAGAGATTGTGATTCATCCTATTGAGAGTTGGATTGTATTGAGGAGCGTTGCGGGAATTGTACTCTCTGCCGAGTTTCGTGGTCGCTTTCTACTTTGAAAACACGTTACGCTTTTGTAAAATGATGAGCCAATTCCACCAGTTTACATCTGAATGTGAGTGACTCACCTAAAGTGCATTGTTAACAAATATAATATTTGTTCGAGAATCTTCGTTTTATTTCTTTATGGAAGCCTAATTCTTGACAATTTCCCGGAACTTGATTAAAAATATTGATTTTCATGACACATGCACAAGCTATCGCACCAAACCCAAACCAGAACCGAGCCCTGGCCGTAGACTAAGCCCAGGGCCAGAGAAGAGAACCCCGACGCGCGGGCGCTTGGCGGGCTCCAAGGTAACGAACACCGCTAACTGTGTTTGGGGCCACAATCGCCGCCATTAGCTTAATAACCCGAGCAATGGATCATCGCGACGTTACGCTACAGGCACGGTTCGGAGTTTGGGGGGAATAGGTGAAGGGGTGGGGCTACTCACAAAAATGTGTCAGCGGAAAGTACCACGACATGCTGTAGTAGGTGCAGCTTGCCAAAAATGAAGCAATCAGACTCACGATTGGAAGTATTCTGAATTACTAATGTGACGTTAGAATGAAATGAAATCTAACCTGATCCTCAAATGTTTACGTGTATCCATGGGTGAAATTACCTAACTCCCACAGACAATTCGTTAAGACCTAGCGAATCTAGGTCTTTAGTGCCTTATGAGAGAATAGTCAAGTGGAAGGGGTTGTGTTATTTCCCAAATTTATAGCAACGTCTCACTGGCCCTCTCAATGCCTATGGTAGGCTTGCAATCTTGTAGTGGTGGTGTTCTAAAAAAATTTAGGCTGTGTTCTACTAATTGACTAGAAAACGATAGACCGTTGATGATGGTGTTGCTGCAGCACGGTAGCACTCAAAACGTCTCTCTACCGTACCTGCGGGGCGTCTCCTGCTGGGCAACTCTTTGACGACTGCGAAGGAGCAAATGTGGCGCATTCATGTATCGCTTTCCACGAAGAGAAACCGAGCGCTCATGGTCCACCTCTCACTTCTAACACAACCTCTTCCGCTTATTAGTTTGAACTTATTAGGTGTGCTGCTGATTTAGAGGAGGCTAGCGATCAAGCTTCTTGATCCATGAGTCATCGATATCAAGCGATTTAGGGTGCGTACGCCACCATGCTAATATCAAGCTTTCGGAGGGGTGAATGCTCTTACTTACTATTAGGCGTTTTATCTGTCGCCTGTTGTCATTCTGTATGTCTGTCACGAAATTCCCTAGCTCCTCGGATCCGCCTGGAGGGACCGGGTCAAGTGTGGAATGGGTGGGCAATATCTCACGAAATATTAAACATACATCATCAAAGCGGAGCCCGGCCCGGAGTGGGCGTGCATCGAAACGGGCGCTACTTACGATAAAGACTTCGAATCCAACATCAAAAGAGCAGATAGACTGGGAAAGGTAGGTAATGGTGGGCATTGGTGAGCCAGATCGAACAAGGAAGACTTACCTGATGGGTGGAGCGTTCTCCAAAAAAAAGTGGCGCTTAATGAAATAATGCATAACTCGGGACTTCTCTGTGGTTTATTGAAATGAAACTCTTCCAAAAAGCGATATCCGACGACGCTTCAAGCCGTAAGCCCTTTTCAGGACTATAACATCATACATTCATTACGTTCTTACATAGAAGGGTGAAACATTTACAACGTGATATGCGAACTCAAATCTTTCTTTTTCGTAACGTTGTCTTGCTGGGGCTGGGGTCCGTTGTTCGGATCGAAGAGCGCCACTTTGTTCGATTCAGGGCATCTTCGCTGCGCAGCTGTGCAGTATTTCATGTCTTCGTTGATCGTGTCTTGCCACCGTTTTCTTGGCCTTCCACGCGGTTGTTTGCCGTCAGCTGAGGCTGTTGCTGTTATTTCTCGAGGGATATTATGAAACGTGACCGCTTAATAGCGCAGGCAGAGAGCGGAGAGAAAAACTGTTGCGAAGTATGTTCGGTTGGATAAGCAGTGAGTCAGGAGGGAACTCCAGGTGTGCAAGGAAATTCACTAATGTTTACTGTTATGGTGTTTACCGATTGTTTACCAATTGTTTACCAGTTGTTTACCAGTTGTTTACCAGTTGTTTACTTGTTTACATGTTGTTTACTAGTTGTTCAGATGTTGTTTACATCTTGTTTACGTGTGGTTTACTACTTGTTTACTTGTTTACTTGTTTACATATTATTTACTTGATTACATTGTTGTTTACGCGTTGTTTACTAGTTGTTAGATGTTGTTTGCATGTTGTTTACGTGTTGTTACACGTTATTTACATGTTGTCTACACGTTGTTTACGAGTTGTTTACTTGTTTATATGTTGTTCACTAGTTGTTTACTTGTTTACATGTTGTTTACACCTAAGTCTGTTTTTTATCTATTGTAGATGCTGAACGTTAGCATCTTGTATTACGCAGTTTGTCTACTACTCCTCATACTGTTCACATGTTATTTACTTGATTACATGTTGTTTACGTCTTGTTTACTAGTTGCTCAGATGTTGTCTACATGTTGTTTACATATTGTTTACATGTTGCTTACATGTTGTCTTCATGTTGTTTACGACTTGTTTACGTTGTTTGCACGTTGTTTACACGTCGTTTTACTTGTTTACATGTTGTTCGCGTGTTGTTTGCTTGTTTACATGTTTACATGTTGTTTACTTGTTTACTTATTGTCTACACGTTGTTTACTTGTTTACACGTCGTTTACTTGTTTACATGTTGTTCGCGTGTTGTTTAGTTGTTTACACGTTTGTTATTAGTTGTTTACTTGTTTACTTATTGTCTACACGTTGTTTACTTGTTTACACGTCGTTTACTTGTTTACATGTTGTTCGCGTGTTGTTTAGTTGTTTACACGTTTGTTATTAGTTGTTTACTTGTTTACCAGTCGTTTACTTGCCCACATGTTGTTTCCTAGTTGTTTACGTATTGTTTACCACTTTACATATTGTTTACATGTTATTTACTTGTCATACTGTTTACATGTTGTGTAATAATGTTAATGTCACAGACTGTTAATTGTTAAGATCTCAAAGTAATTTTCAGGCGATGGTTGGCTCCTTTCTCCGGTCACAGTGATCGGACGGTATAGTGCAGTGTACAAGTTGAGCGGCTCATCCAGGTTCGTGCTCTCCGCTATCAACTCCTACGAGTACTCAGCCTCTGCAGTGATTCTCAACGGAGTCACACCATCGTTTACGGTCATCAACGAAAGAACAGACGACGAGTGGACGGCATTTGCTACGCCGAATACTGGTACCATCAAATTGTCACATTTGTTCACCTACTGATAGGGTTATCGTCTGTTTCCAGCTGCTGGTCCTTCCATTGCCTTCACATTGCCGTCTGGATGGCAGGTTCAGAACAGTAGTACGAATTACCGTGTCTCTGTGCGACCGTCATGTACCTATGGCTATAGCGCATTCAGCGTTTTCCCGCCAATGAGTCCTGGTGCGAATTTTGTTACGGTAAGTCTTGTTTTTACAATCATTAATATTAAAAATATATGTTTTCGTTTGGGTCTAAAAGGTATCCGAACAGGGGCTTCTGCGACGCCCATCCGGTTACCAAGTATGAATAGAGGCTGAAAAGAAAGGTAATTTGGGTTAGGCCATCAGCAAGGCCTCATGGCTACGGAGTGACTTTCAAACGATATGCCTTCAGAATGAACCTCTTTGCAATCTGGTGATAGTGATTAATGATAAAAACAGGTAGTGCTTAGTTTTGGGATGCATGCATGGTTTTAGGGGTCCTTATTTGATATTAACCTTATCTTTTCGGAACAAGGCGGAGTATTTCCTTTCACTGCATTTGTCAATGGGTGCCAGTACGGCTCCTGACTTTTTGTTGCTTGGTCGCGAACGTCTCCTCAAATCAAAATTTTGCTCCGGGCGCATTGCTCAGCTATCAGGGCAAAGATGGGAAGGGTTAGACGGGTGGATAGTGTGATAGTTTTCTGACAGTCAACCGACCCATCAAAGAATTCTTGTGATCCGGGGCAAAAATCGCCTAGTTCCAAGGCTTTGAATGTCCTTCATCAAATCTGCAGCAATGTTGTTTAGGTTTCTCTGAATGATGGAACTACAACAGTAAATCGAGTGATACCTGTCGGAGTCGCTTCTTCAATGGGTAAGTGCTTGGAAAGATATGACACAGTAGGCAGATTACAGTAGACTCACGAACAATTTCTTTTCCTCGAGAAAAAGCACAGGAGACTCTAGAACAATTTGTATTCCTCAAGAAAAAGCTCAGTTTAGACATGGACAGAATAAGTAATACAAAAATGACCGAATAGCGAGTTGAAGCCTTTAGTCGGAAAAGTCGGATTGACGGGATAATGTAGTGGACTGCCTGTTTCAGTATGCCAAAATGGTGGAACAGCGGGCTCGACGAGTTGTTCCTGCCCAGCTGACTTCACGACGCCGGACTGCTCACGTCCGATTTGCCAGCAAGGCGAATTGAACTCTTGGGGAGATGTCTGCAATTGTGATTGGAGCTCGGCCGGAGGACGTCTCTGCGGATGTAAGCCTTTTCCTGTGTTCAAAGAAGATGTTCGAGGAATTTCCAAGTCCTGACTAGCTTGAAAAGTTCAAAATAAAACATTATTGATAACTAAATTATATACTATATGAGTAGATGAGGGGTTCAGAGCGTTGCGAATGTGAAGTTTCAAAAACTACGATTCAGCTATCCAGTTGCGCTAACATAAGTGTAAAGAGACGAAGGAGTGGTTGCATCCGCGATTTTAGAGGGGGTTGGGTCGTTTCCGCGATATGGATTACCTAAAGCAATAATTCTCATGAAATTGCTACCACTTCCGCCCCTTAAAGCTCTATAATGGTACCCCCCCCCCAAATTGGACTTTTTCGGAGACGAAGAAGGGAGATAAAAGGAGCGCCGGGCTATACTGTTGAACGGCCACAGGCTCCAAGAGATGGTCGAGCCGATGCACCTAAAGGGAGAAATGTTATCGCGAGAAATTTCCCAAGCCTATATTCTGGATTACCTGAAGCAATAATTCTCATGAAATTGCTACCATTGCCGCCCATAAAGCTCTATAATGCTAACCCTCCCACCCCTCCCCCCTCACCCCCCATTGGTCGATGGTTTCACCACAACTACTGAAATGGGCGTGGCCTGTTGGGCAACAAAAAACTTAGGAGCACAAAATCGCACCCTCGGTTGTGTTTGTAGTTGCGAAACCACGAGGGTTGACAGGCACGAGAAGCCTCACTATCTTACGAAGAAAAATGTGTGACTGTTGTCCCCACGGCAAATTTCATAGTTTCAACAAGAAATTTTTTATGATATTTTCAGGGAAATCTCCTTCGTGACGGCCGAATGAATAACGCTCTGAATAAAGATTTCTGATTATGTTTGCATGTTCCATTGCAACTCGCACGAAATGAGGTTTAACTAGGTGGAAGTGGAAAATGATTGCTTACGAGTTAAATTATTCAGCATGCAGTTAGTTTAGTTGAAAAATGGGTGGCGGTCATATGGCGCGATTACATTGGCATTGGAGCGCACAGACCGCAATTGCCCCATCCTGCTGCGGCCGGACAACTCGTCCGTATCACTCAACTACTAGACTTCAGTAATTGATCGATCTGATAATTTGGGTCTCAAATATCTGAGTTCCAAAGATTTAAAAAAGAGCGAATAGCTTCTGGTGGCCTAATGCCAAGGCGGGAGGATCGGAACGGAATGTGTTGCGCGGACGAGTTATCCGGTCACAGGCTTGTGTGCTCCAATACCAATGGGGTCGCGCCATATGACACACTCCCTTGAAAAATGCCACTAGCCTGCCAAACACCCGTGTTCATATGTGGCCCTTCGGCCGTGTTCTGTTCTGCATGCGTGTGTTTGTGAATGCTTAGCGACCATATCCACGGGCGAAAATTCGGTCAAGAAATGTACGAACAAGTTCTGGAGAACACTGAACGGCAGGTGCCGGTTCATGATCCGATACTCAGTATTTTTGCTGTATCTGTTTTATTCTGAATGCTTGCATTTCATGGTATACTCTTTCAAATTCGTAAGCATTTGGCCGCTGATGTTTCAAATCATCCTCGGGAAGAACTTCCTGTAGTTGAGGGGCTCAAGTTAAAAACATTGAAAACGATCGCTAGAGGATGGAGCTTTGTTGTTGAATATTCTCGATGGGTCAGGCCCCATAAGGATCTCGTTTTTGAAAGTGTTTCGTGCAGGTCCGTGTATGGCATAAAATCAGCAGAGCACGGCCTTTTTCAGTGATGTTGAGGTTTGTCTGAAAAGTCAAAGTGCCTTTTCTGAGCCTGAGCAAGTCTTTACCCTAAAAAAAAGGTCTCAGGACATCTGTCAACTGCGGGGCTAGGGTGTTCAGCGTTTTGTAGTAGCGTCTGGAAGCGCTAACACAAAGCGCTCTAAGCCTTCCCTCTTCCTTATTTAGCCGAATACCATTCCCTCACTAAGATTGTCCAGCCGATGTGCCTTTATGAAGTGTTACAAGGAAAAGCGCTTTGACGGAGACTTCCAAACATCCAGAAACTATTTCCACTTTTGAGCTTGTAAAGCCTTCACCAAAATCATGGCCAACGTTTGTTACGTTTAGCGGTTTTATTGTCTCCGTGAGGACCTGGAAAAGCGATGGCAATAACAATGCATCACCAGAACATTCCATGCTTCAGGAAAGTTTCCCATACTGGTCTCTAAGAGAATGTCATAAAACCCAAACAATCCGACTCACCTTTACAAATGAATAGCTTGATTGGTATAGGATTAAGGATTTGATAGGATTTTCACCACCTTGACTCTGACTCACAGTTCGTAAGGCTTTATGTGACAGATCCCCCCCCCCCCTCGCAGAGTCGATGTCGTTTCGAACCCATAGCACGACCTTGCTTATTATGGCTAAAATGGGCTGGTAAATTCAGAAACCTTTTGATCAGACGGTCCGAGGGTGAAGGTGTAAGGGTTGCACTGTTCGTTTGGTCACAGCCTTGGTCCACTAATGACATGGCGTTTACTTTTAGCCTTTGGAAAAATTTACTCAACACTCCCATTGTTTTCACTTTTCGATTAGCAGCGCACGGTTTATTTTCCAACAAAAAGCCTTGAAAATTCTTCCTTGTTATAGCAGCCCGCAATCTTCACACAGTCAAGAATAGTCGAGGCTATGGAACCTTATCCTGTATCAAATAATTGTGCCATGACGAGTCTACAGAAGAATCGAAGACTGAAACTGAGCCTGTTCATAGCTGAGCCTCTCCATCAATCGGTCATGGTTGTTTTTTAGATCGATTGGGATTGCAGATCAAGTCCTCATCAAGAGTCCTATACTCAGGAGGAAAAACAACAAGCGAAGCGTAGAAGGAAGAGACCAACGCAATGGCAGCTACGGGGAGAAGGGCTCCACAGTTTCCCCTAAAACATTCGATTATTTTATTGATAGCCAACCTCGTATCGAAATTTGATCACAATAATTCAATGCAAACAAGCGAACATTTGGACCCTATGAGGCCACCCTCGCGACCCCACCCCACAACTCTTTTCGCCATCGATCTTCACGTGTGGCGGACGGTTTCTTCGGTATGTCTCACCTTTCAATCATACTGTGTTTCCTAAAATACTCGTTTTTCCTCGATTCGCTAGGTGTCCTCTGCTTTGGATACTTCTGTTGAGAAACTTTTGATACCCTTTCGCAATCCCAAAAATTGGTTTATCGGTGATAAAGTCGATGGGTTGCACAAATGTAGCCTCAATCGGTAGAAAGCGAAGACACGGAGTTCATTCTTCATGGGGAGAAGCATCACCGTACGTTTCGTATAGCCTGACCAGCTATTTTTCTATACTTGGCAATCACCATCGTTCTGCTCGCCTCGCTTGTCAACTGGAGCTCATAAGGGTGCTATACAAGTAGGGTGGGCACGTCCCATTTTTTAACAGAAATGTATGTAAGTGGTACTACTGCCCACTACTATACTGTCAAGATAATCGGGAAATTCGCGAGCTAGGAGGCAGTGTGGCCGGGGGTGAGGGCAGTCACTTGGCATGCTTTAGAAGTTGAGCGTCCATCCTACTTGTGTAGAGCCTTCATAAGTTCTATGGGCAATGAGTGGCCGATGTCAGACTTTGCGATTGGAGCGATTTTGCACCAATTGCAGGAGCGACGGATCGCTCAAGCGATGCGAGCGACGGGAGATTTACGAACTGATGGCGCCGAATTATCGGTGGTCGGCGGTGTATAATCTCCCGTCACTCGCATCGCTCTAGCGAGTGTGCCTGCGCATAAGCTGGCTTGGTCCCGGCACGCCATTGCATGGGTCATATCACATTCAAATCCCGCTGCAATACCGGATGGAAGTTGGGTGCGTGGTGTACTCTAAAAAAGGACTGAGCAACGCCGAAACCTTGGAGCTGTGCCAAGTACGTCGCGGAGTGAGCTCCATTCTGATTACGGTTGGCGCTTGATGGACGCAGTGACTTCACAGGATGACGTGAGAGCCGATAAGACCAAGTCTCAGAGAGAGAGGATGGACTCCAGGGTGTGCAAGGATTTCCCATGTTCTCGTCCAGGCATATTCAGCACCCTTGGAGCTTTCAATATCGCATCACCTGCTGATTCACCATATCTCTAAAAAGATTTAATAAGTAAATAGCAAAAAGATAAATAGCAGTTTCGTTTGAATTATAACAACTCAAAATTTGTTTCAGATCGATGCTGTGGAGCTTCGGCAAAATAGGCACATCCACCGCATTCACTTGACGGCATGGTGACACCTGAAAGCTGAGAAGGCGAAGCTCTCACTGAGGTACCGTTTCCTGAAGGAATTTATAGCTTTCATTAAAAGGAATGCAAAAATAAAAGTGGCAATAATGAAAAAAAAACCTAAAAGGCCCACATCATATTCAAAGCCAATTCAAATGTGGCTGGGGGTAAGGAGCATCGTGGCGCAGGGACTGACCAGTAAGGTCTTGGTCGTGGGTCGTGCCCAGGTTTTTTCTTCCGGAACGGTGTTTTGCATTTGTAGGTTCATGTGCATGGGACATGGGGTCATGTTCCAACTTTTCCGAACGGTCCTCCGAACGACAGCAGGGGATGAGAGGTTGGTTCGATCCTGTGGTGAGGAAGTTTTGCATTTTCCGTTGACTCGTGTGATGTTGCAAATAGACGATCACGGCTAGTTGTGAGCTCCATTTTACCACCGGGACCATCAGTAAGTTATATGGGTAGGTTTCTACAAGGTTATGTAAAAAGGTGTGGCGCTCGACACTTTTTCTATCGATTTTTTAGCATTCTAGATAAGGTTTGGGAAAAATTACCAAGGTCCCATGTTCCATTCAGTATCCCTACATCACGAAAAAACAAACCCTTGACAAACCGGGCCATGATCTGAAATTCTTCTGACGAGAGCATTCCGAACCATGGCAGGCATTTCCATTTCCATATGAGTATGGCCGCGGTGATGAAGTTTTTGCTGTAGAACCCCGCACTCACCTACCCTCACGCCTAGGAATTTGATCCCTCGTTGTTCGCAGGGTGACTCGTGCAAAAAAAATCGGAAGGAAAGGGAAAACAAGTGTGGGAACTCCACGTGTTCTCCAGATTGGTGGGAATCCAATTATAGAAATCACCAATGCACGCCTTTACCTACTTTTTCCCCTAGTTTTGAGGCAATAGTTTTTTGTAAACAGTTGGGTAATCTCCCGGGTCGTCAAGTACACTTTAATTTTCGAACGCACAGCTACCGTATAGAAAAAACAGTCAAACCAAGCGCTCACATGCTGGCGGCTCCGCTTAAACTGGTAAAGGTCTTGTTACTTTATTAGAACTTTAAGCCCATCCATCGGCACACCCCGTGACACGGTCTCTACCATGGCGGATTTCCAGAGTTAGTGAAAGTTATTACGAGGCATACAGAACGACAGACGACAGACGAAGCGCTTTGCAGTAAGTATCGGGATTGATAGGTCGATCTATTGTGGGATTGAATGATTTATCAGATTCGAGCTGTCAGTACTTGGAGATTTTCCGGCGAGTAGCTCAATCAATGTGTAGAGATGTTCGGATGCAGTCAGCCCCAAACCTATCATGTGAGGCGAGCACCACGACATACTACCCTCTTGGGAAGTCTGCACTTCTTGCTGGGTGTTATTTATGTAAAGGGTAGCCGGGAAGTGTTGTCAAGGCAGCGCAAGTGCCTCCGCCACCTCCCGGTCGTCTTCATCGCCAAACTTCAGAAAAGTCGTAAGCGAGGGCACGTCAGAAGAAAGCACGGATATGTGTGTCATGCTAGAGAGCGGTGATTGAATTTGAAGTTTTCCCGATCCGAAGGAAACAACAGTTGGGTGGGATGTAGGGCAATGATGCTCTTTCGGGACACGGCCCC